CAGAAATATAGGCCTTAAAAATTGCACATTATTATTATTATTATTAAAATTACATTATTAGTAGTAGCATTTATAATACTTCAGAAATAGCAATATTAATAATAATAATAATAATTATTATTATTATTATTTTGCCATTTGTACATGCTTAATTATAATAATAATATAAAATGTTTAAGAACTGTTACTAATAAAAAGCAGTAATAATAATAATAATAATAATAATAATAATAATAATAATAATAATAATGCTTATAATCTTGTTAAATAATTATTAATAATAATAATAATACATTCTTATATTCTTGTTGAACAGATTTTTAATTGCTTTCAGACAGCAGAAATATACTCATTGTCATGGCTTTTATATAAACTAATTGCTTTCTGTGATTCACAGATTTTGATCAGACGCTGATGCTCATGATTCATTATGATTAGTTTTTCTTGGAATATTTCCTGTTCAGTAACAGAAGGAATAGATCCACTTTTCTGGACTGTAATGTTGCTCATCAGTAATGAAGGAGGAGTGTCAACACACACTTAAATAAGAGCCATGAGCAGTGCTTCAGAACACACACCAGACGGTCTGCCAGAGCACCTGAACTTCACCAACTCACAGGTAACAAATTACTTTATGTTAAGAATTAATAATAAACATTATACGCTTAATTGAACAACAGCTCGAGTTTATTCAAAAATGAATATACTGAAAATATATATAGCACCATTGTTGCATTATGGCAAGACAATACAGGTGAATATCTTAAATTAAGAATTGCAAAAATTATAGTGTATAGTTTTCTCATATATTATGTTGAAGTATGCAAATAAGGCATTATGTAGTTAAATAGGCACTAACTTGCATACATTGCCAGAAAATGAATCTGAACATTGGATAAAGCCAGGATAAACATTTTTGTTTTATTTTGTTGATATATTCAAATGTTTTTATAAAAGGGATATTTGGGATATTTCTTTTTATCACTCCATAACAGAAAATACTATCAACAGTTAGAATAAACACCGTTTTAATACAGTTTTAGGAATAATATGCTGTACAAAACCAGGTGAATGATATATGAACAAACCCTTCTATAAAAACCTTCAGAATATCACCTGAAGCCTTGCCAACATTCTTGCTAACACACTTTATATAAAACCAATTTAGCTTAGTTAAACTAGAAAAAGGATCATTTAAAACACTGTTAAACTTTAATATATAATATTTTTATATATGCATTTATATTTAAATTTAAAATATGTGACCCTGGAGCACAAAACCAGTCATAAGGGTCAATTTTTCGAAATTGAGATTTAAACATCATCTGAAAGCTGAATAAATAAGCTTCCCATTGATATATGGTTTGTTAGGATATCACAATATTTGACTGAGATACAACTATTTGAAAATCTGGAATCTGAGGGTGCAAAAAAATCTAAATATTGAGAAAATCACCTTTAAAGTTGTCCAAATGAAGCTCTTAGCAATGCATATTACTAATCAACAATTAAGTTTTGATGTATTTACAGTAGCAAATTTACAAAATATCTTCATGGAACATCTTTACTTAACTTACTTAATATCCTAATGATTTTTGGCATAAAAGAAAAATGTATAATTTTGACCCATACAATGTTTTTTTGGCTATTGCTAGAAATATACCCCAGCGACTTAAGACCAGGGTCACATATGCTTAACTTTGAGTTCTATTTATTGATCATTTAAAAATTCAAGTTATTATACGCTCTTAAAAATAAAGGTTCTTCATTGGCATCGATGCTTCGATGAAGAACCTTTAACATGCATGGAATCTTTTCATTCCATAAAACCTTCTTTATAGTGGAAACGGTCACATTTACATGATCAGTATCAACACTACGTCCAATCTGAGCACAGGTTGATGTTTCTGCATGGGTTTAGACATGATTATGTGTCCGTTTCAGCAGCTGGATGACGTCATGCGCTTTAATCCAGCTGCCCCATGGGTTCTTATTCAGTTGTGAGTGTAAGAGGCGTCTTTGTTGGCAGTCTGTTGTGAAAGAACTATGACAATGACTCGCCGTCCGGTCTGGGAGGGGATGGGTGTCAGAGAAGCAAGAAACTCTTGATAATGATTTTATAATTGTACAATAAAAATGCTCACTGAAAGACAAAGAGTTTGTCATTAATCGCTATATGAGTTTATACATGAGAGGATCATGAGGTCAAATTATTGGTCAGCAGGCCTTGCCATGACATTTCAATGAGGAAACATAACAGGAAAATACATAATTATGTGACCCTGGAGCACAAAAGCAGTCTTAAGTCGCTGGCGTATATTTGTAGCAATAGCCAAAAATACATTGTATGGGTCAAAATTATAGATTTTTCTTTTATGCCAAAAATCATTAGGACATTAAGAAAAGATCATGTTCCATGAAGATATTTAGTAAAATTCCTACCGTAAATATATCAAAACTTAATTTTTGATTAGTAATATTCATTTGGACAACTTTAAAGATGATTTTCTCAATATTTAGATTTTTTTGCACCCTCAGATTCCAGATTTTCAAATAGTTGTATCTCAGCCAAATATTGTGATATCCTAACAAACCATAAATCAATGTAAAGCTTATTTATTCAGCTTTCAGTTGATGTATAAATCTCAATTTCGAGAAATTGACCCTTATGACTGGTTTTGTGTTCCAGGGTCACATATGATTTTGTTTTAGTATTTGAACACCAGCAATGTAATGCATCTGGTGATTCTTTACTATGATGATTTTCCATATAATTTTGTACTGAAGGTGCATTCTGGGAGTACTTCCTTCTCTGTCTGGCTCGACTAAATTTCAGACCAAACTTTTCTCTGCTAGTGTAGGCGAAACAAGTATTTTATGATCAAATCAAATGAAAACCTGAAATTAAATGCAAAGATGAGGAATTTAAATAAATAATTAAACACGTTTATTTTACATTTATATTTGCTCATTTGGCAGACACTTTTATCCAAAGTTACAAATCTTATTTACATTTTATAATGTTCATTTTTTAATTAATTCATTAAATCTTATTTATTTATTTAATCTTATTTACTTATTAACATTTTATTTACTATTAAATAGAAGGTTGTCAATTTTTTTTTAAAACAATTAAAAGCATTTATTTATGTTTTAGAATTCAGTTTGTTTGTTTGTTAATTTATTTGTATTTCATTTATTTGTATTTCATTAGAATTTCTATTCATGTATTTATTTTTGCATTTATTAAATTTTTATTAATTCAGATTTTGATTTATTTATTACATTTTTATTATACACACACACACACACACTAGGCTATATTTTCATTAAAAAATTATTATTTTTTTTAATTGATTATTGATCTATTTTTATTGATTGATTGATTGAAAAGTATTTAACATATTTAGTTTTATTTATTGATTAGAAATTAATTTGTTACACTTTTATTTATTCTGATATTTATTTATTTATTACATTTTTATTATATACACATTCTATTTAATATGTTTATATATTTTTTTATTTATTGATTGATTGATTGAAAAATCACTTTTTTTTCTTCTTCTCAGTCTTTCAGCCTGCTTGTAGAAATGCTTAGATCTAACACCAACACTACTGGAGGTCCCAGTGCCAGCGCTCCTGCAGCTGCGACCCCGACGGCTTCAGGTGAGGAGGAAGAGGATGAGGGAGACTCTAATGCAGTTCATTTGCATGAAAAAGAGTCCACACTGAGATTTGATGCTTTCAGGGAGATGTAAACGTTTCCTCTCTCATTCACAGACACACTTCTGACGGTTCACTCCGTCGACCTCCTGAAATCCAAGGATGGGCCGAACCGACGCGAGCATCGCACAGACACTTACTTCAGCGACAAGCTGATCGTCCGCAGAGGACAGACCTTCCAGATGTGGGTCGAGTTCTCCAGACCCTTCAACCCCAAATCTGACAATCTGCAGCTGCAGCTGAAGTTAGGTGAGTGAGCTGGCACACAACCTGCTTGACAACAGTCATTATTTTTCCATTTCATCTCACGAGGTGCTCAGAAATGACTAATTTTACCTTTAAAATCTTAATTTGACACATACTAAGAAGACAGACATCTCAACAAGATAACAGACTTAAAGGCGGCACAATATGTACGATTTTTTTATTAAAATATCCAAAAACCACTAGAGCAGTGTTATATATTTTGCTGACTTACATTATCCCGAATGTTTCGAAGAATGTTTAAATCCAGAGAAAAAAGCAATTTTAACTAGTGACGCGGAGCGTGTCTATAGTGTCATTGTGTCGCCTGCCAATGACGTCCTAACCCCTCGATTTCCGGTTTTGTTTTGTAGAAAACATGGAAACACCAAAGACGCTTTAATATGTTGTGTGTTTTAATAGACCGGTGACGACCGCACAGAGTAGCATTATAACAGAACATTCTAATGTATCTAGTATGATAAAACAGCGCTGCTTTACCCCACATACGCACGAGCGCAAGCGGTCGACTGTGGCATAATAAAAGCTCCGCTGCTTTACCCCACATACGCACGACCGGAAGCAGCGGAAGCGCTCGACTGTGTCATAATAAAAGCTCCGCTGCTTTCCAGTCGTGTGTCACGCTCGTTCAGCGGCCTCGTTTCACTTCGACGGCTTTCAGCCTCACCCTGCTTCATTCTACTGCGTTAATAGATCATTAGCTCATCCATGAACATGATTTCTGCCCGAGTCCGGTCGGATTGCATCGGCTGTGGGGATGAAGACCACAACTCCCATGATTCCACACTCAGTCACAGCGTCATCAAACTACGCCTTTGCCTCTTTGTTTATTTTGAATACGCGCCCTCTAGTGGCGAAAATGACATATTGTGCCTTTAAGTCCAGACTTGTCCTCGTACTGTTTGTTTTGTATTTGTTTAGTGAATATTTTTCATAATTACAGCAGTTCTTTCTTCTCATGCCTGCTGGACGCACCTCTGATAGCATGTTTTTTGTGTTTTTTCATAATCGGATTTAGGGATGTGTTGAGCAACATTTCTCTTCAGATAGCTGTAAAAACATCTACAATCAGAATTACTGTTAAAATCAGTAGCAGAAGAACCTAAATCAGAATGAAATCAGCAGAATTAGTAGAAAATCCAAATAAAAATCTGAGGTATTATAGTTAAAACTAAAACCATTAAAAAAAAAACATGGCTACTTATGAATAAATAGAATAATAAGCTGGAATAAATATAATGTTTACAATTTTTATTAAACTTATTTTATTTCAGCTTAGCAGAAGAACCTAAATCAGAATGAAATCAGCAGAATTAGTAGAAAATCCAAATAAAAATCTGAGGTATTATAGTTAAAACTAAAACCATTAAAAAAAAAAACATGGCTACTTATGAATAAATAGAATAATAAGCTGGAATAAATATAATGTTTACAATTTTTATTAAACTTATTTTATTTCAGCTAGTATAGCTAAGGCAACATTTCTCATTTAACTTGCTGTCATAAAATAACTGAAACTGAAACTGAAATATAAATGAATAAAAACTATATACGCATATTTAAAAAAAAATAATTAAAATTATAAAATGACTAAAACTTAAACTAAAATAAAAATGAAATATATAAAAACTAATTAAAAAAAACTTATTCAGGTTTGCTTTTATAATAGTATCTAATTAAGATACTATTATAAAAATTACAATAGTTTCTCAATTATACAAAAATAAAACTGACAAAAAAACACAATTAATGTCTTAAAAATCTTCAGACTTAAATTAGAATCAGAAATAAAATCAGTTGAATTCAAATCAATAATCAGCCCATATTAGATCATTCAAAAAACTAACAAAAAATAAAATAAATTTATAATAAATAATCAGAACCACAATCATAATCAGGTGATTGTGTGCATTTAAAATTATTTTATCTTATTTTAACTGGATTTTTAAAACTCATAAAACATAGACATGCAGTGGCTACGGAAACATGTTTTCCATTCAGTGATTTTTCTCCGGAGTCTGCACATTATCATTGATTGACAAATCAGTGTGTGACAAAGAGAGAAAGGTGCCCAGACATTCTGACGGTTAGTTCAATTATCTTGCACTTTATTTGGAAAAGAAACCCTGACAGATGAATCTATTCATTCGTGATGGATGTGAGTCATGAAATGCTTGGGTTTGGACCAGGACTAGTGATTATGCGACCTAATCCATCTAATCCAGCTGCTCCTTGAGTCTCCCTTCTTAATGGATCTCCAGCCGAGTCACCGACGGATGATTCAATTAAAGCTAAATCATTAAGACGGCGTTCGTCTGACAGTATGTTTCCATGTCTTTGACACAGAGCCCATCTTCAGCAGTAGCACTGGGATTCACATCTCTGTCCCGTTAGTGGACGTCCTGGAAGACAGCCGCTGGGAGATGAAGATCGTGGAGCAGAAAGACAAACGTGTGCGGCTGGCGGTCAACACTCTTCCCACCGCCTCCATCGGCCGCTACAAGGTGACCATCGAGTCTTTCTCACCGAAGGGCAAGCTGCTGTTCCCCTGCACCCCCAACGACGTCTACCTGCTCTTCAACCCCTGGTGTGAAGGTACAGACTCAATGAAGAACAGCCACACTCACTTTTTCCTCATTTGCATTAATGAAGTAACACAACATTCATCTGTCTTTCCTCAGATGATGCCGTGTATCTGGATAATGAAGCAGAAAGGAAAGAGTATATCCTGAACAGCATGGGCAGAATTTACTACGGAACTGAGAAGCAAATTGGAACCAGAACATGGAATTTTGCCCAGGTGTGGAAACACAGCGACTGCTATTATTATTTTTATTATTATAGTTTGAATTTTTGAATAATAATAATCATTATTATTATTGTTATGCTATTCTTTTATCAGTTTGAACAGATCTGTTATTATCTATAATTTTATTATTATTATTGTTGTTGTTGTTGCAATGATTATTATTGTTTTTAAATGTATTAATTTATTATTATTATGCATTTTTATAGTTTTGAACAGACTCTATTATTATCTATAATTCTATGATCTGTGCTGATGATGATGATGATTATTAGTATCTTCATTATTATTATTCTTGTTGTTGTTGTTATGATGATGATGATGATTGTTTTTATTAATTTAATTTATTATTATTATTATTATAAATTTGTATTGGTTTGAAAATATTCTATTATTATTATTATTATTATTATTATTATTATTATTACTATTATTATTATTATTATTATTATTATTATTATTATTATTATTATTATTATTATTATTATTATTATTATTATTATTATTATTATTATTATTATTATTATTATTATTATTATTATTATTATTATTATTATTATTATTATTATTATTATTATTATTATTACTATTATTATTAATTTGTACCATCATCATCGTCGTCGTCATCATTGCCATGCAATTGTTTTTTTTATATATTTATAATTGTCTATAAATCTAAATCTAATAATAATAATAATAATACAATTATAATAATAATGGAAATAACAAATAATAATAGTAACAACAATTATTATTATGCATTTTTATAGTTTTGAACAGACTCTATTATTATCTATATTTCTATGATCTGTGCTGATGATGATGATGATTATTAGTATCTTCATTATTATTATTCTTGTTGTTGTTGTTATGATGATGATGATTGTTTTTATTAATTTAATTTATTATTATTATTATTATAAATTTGTATTGGTTTGAAAATATTCTATTATTATTATTATTATTATTACTATTATTATTAATTTGTATCATCATCATCGTCGTCGTCATCATTGCCATGCAATTGTTTTTTTTATATATTTATAATTGTCTATAAATCTAAATCTAATAATAATAATAATAATACAATTATAATAATAATGGAAATAACAAATAATAATAGTAACAACAACAATAAAAATAAACAACAACAAATTAACAATAACTATAATATTAAATAGATTTATTGTTATTAATAGAATTAATATTATTACTAATATTATTGTGTATTATGCAATTGTTTTATCAGTTTCAATCAAATTCTGGTATTATCTTCTATTATTATTATTATTATTATGCATTTTTATCGGTTTGAACATATTCTATTATTATCTGTATTTAGTTTATTATTATTTCTATTATTATTATTAATTTTATTGTTCATTTTTATCGGTTTGAACATATTCTATTATTATCTATATTTCTATTGTTATTATTATTGCTATTATTATTATTAATTTTATCATCATCATCATCGTCGTCATCATTGCCATGCAATTGTTCTTTTTCATATTTATAATTGTCTATAAATCTAATAATAATAATAATTATAATAAAATTATAATAATAATGGAAATAACAAATAATAATAGTAACAACAACAATAAAAATGAACAACAACAAATTAACAATAACAATAATATTAAATATTTTTATTGTTATTAATAAAATTAATATTATTACTAATATTATTGTATTGTTTTATCAGTTTCAATCAAATTCTGGTATTATCTATGATTCTATTATTATTATTATTATTATTATTATTTCCAATTGATCAATTCCATTATTATGATTTTTATGATTTTGCGTTTGTTTTATCAGTTTGAACAGGATATCCTGGAAGCATGTCTGTTCATTTTGGAGAGAGGTCAGGTCGCTATGACCGAATGGAGAGATCCAGTGATTGTGTCCAGAATGGTATCTGCTCTGGTGAGTCACGTTCACATGGATTCATAAGAAATCATGAATGTGATTTGAGAAGGTGAAATACAGTAGCCAGCATGTGGCATTTTTAGGTTCATATGAACCTTCTGTGTTCAAAACAACATGTAGCTTATGGTCTTTCCTGTGAGGAACAGAAAAGTGAGATGCACGATTAAAGAGCTGAAAAGCACCTGTTTTTGAAAAGCTTTTCTGCTCTTCTGTGACAGGTGAACTCCAACGATGACTACGGTGTTCTGGTGGGTACCTGGAAGGACAGCTATGAGGGTGGAACGTCTCCCACCGCCTGGAGCGGCAGCGGCGACATCCTGAGACAGTATTACAAAAGCTCAGGGAAACCTGTCAAATTCGCCCAGTGCTGGGTCTATGCGGGAGTCACCAATTCCGGTACGTTTGGATTTATTTCTCTTTTTATCACTGTATTAAAAATATATTTTTATCATGTTTTTAGGAATAAAATGTTTTCTAAATAAATGTCTTTCTCAGTGTTGAGATGTCTTGGTATTCCCACCCGCTGTGTGAGCAACTTCAGCTCGGCTCACGACACGGACCTTTCCTTGACCACAGACATTTATATTGATGAGAAGCTGGAAGTTATCAAAGACAAGACCAGCGATTCTGTCTGGTATGATATTTTGCTGTCATTAATGTCATCAGAGTCAGGTTTATGTTATACTTAGTCTCTCTGATCAGCAAAACTTATGCTTGGAAGACTTTATAATACATTTTGATGATTAATGAACTGACAGTTCTCAAATACAGCCATCATTACTGACACTTTACATTAATATGATATCAGGGTTATTATATTTCACTAAAAGTAAAACCATAAAAAAATAACTTGAAATGGAATAAATGTTAATAAAAAATAACCTAACTATGGTTTATTTCGTAGTTATTACAACATTTCTAATTTTTGTTTAGTTTAACTTGAAGTAGCCTACTAAAATAACTAAATCTGAAATAAAAATTAATAAAAAACTTTATATACATAGGGGAGAGCGGGGCACAAAGTAACACTTTTTGACTTTCTCAGTTTGTGTAAATCCACATGGTGTTCAGAATATAATTTTTTACACTTGTCTAGTACAAATATATCGCTTTGTTTCATGATTACAGTGTATACGTTTTTCTTTATGTACCCTCAATAAATGGAAGTGAAATGTGACAACATGCCCCGTAGGTGGGGTACATTGTAACATCTGAGGGGCACGTTGTAACATGACTATATAACAGCTTAAAATGTTATCTGATCGAATGGAAAAAAATATACAAGACAAACTAAAATATTTTGTTAATAAAATAAAGCAATTATTTTTTTCAAATAAAATAAGGGCGTTTTTTTAAGAATTAAAAATAATCAGATTTTGGAGTTTGACAATGAACACATTGCAATCATGCTTGGGATGGCCCACATAAACGTGCAAAAATGCTTTACATGCCTTGAAATAATAATTTCTAAACATTAAACATTGACTGTCAGTCTTTATTCACCTGTTTCTCGTTGTTTCTCATTAAAATTCATTAAAGTAAATAGTGTAAATTGCATCGCTAATGTCATAGAATAGCACATTGTAACGCAGTGTTACAACGTGCCCCATCTGCGAAACTGGAGTTTAAAACCAGTTGCTGTCTATCTAAACTGATAAATAACAGATTGGAGATTAAAATAATAATTTTAAAGGATTAATAAAAACAGAGATGAAAAATTTACTTAAGCCAGAATTGTAATTTTACTATGGTAAAATAAATGTTCATTGATATCTTCAAAAGATTTTTGAATTTTTTCACACTTTTTTTTTTCTATATAACGTTGATATGGTAACTAATAAATACTGTAAATTGTGTTATGCTAGCATGTGTGGAAATATTCAAACCATGTGTGTTACAACTAACCCAGCGTTACTTTGTGCCCCAAGCTCCCCTATTAAAAAACACAAAAATACACAAAAAAACTAAAACTAATTAAAAATGACAAAACACACAAAATATGTATATGTTCAATAAATAGCTAAAAAATATGTTCAATAAACTAATACTAATAAACTCCCAAACGATTCATTTTTCCAAACCCCTCCTTTGCGTGAGGCTACTCTGCGGTGATTGGTCCAATTGGTCTCATTTTCATTCCATCCTGCTGCCTGTAATCCTGATAAAGCAGCGTTTGTGAGCGCAGTGCTGCTTTGTTTACAGCATTACCGGGGAAACCGCTATTTTACCGCTTCAAAAGCGGCACCTAGTGGCAAAGAATGAATTTGCATTTTCATTCAGACGAACGCAAAAATCGACTGACGGTCAAGTTTTCCCAGGTCTGCGCGCAACAAGAGGGGGCAATATGCTAATGTTTCATGTTGACGTCAACATGAAACGGCTTGGGATTCGTTTTACAAACGACTCGCTTCAATGATTCAGAGTCGACTCTTTTGTTTGAGAGACAATAACTTTATACACGGTGCACTTTCAGATTTAAAACTTTGCAGGATGTTTATATTTAATAAGAGCTGTGTTACACATTGCATTAAAGGTAATTTTCAAAAATGCATAATAGGGGCACTTTAATAATTTTCACAACACAAAATGACACAAATCAGTTGAAAAAAAAAACTTGCCCTGCAAACTGCCCTTATAATATTTAGATGATTGTTTTTTTTCCTTCTTTTTTTTTTAAGGTAAAGTGCCTCATTTCACTATTTGTAAAAAAAAAAAAAAAAAAAAAAGCGTAAAGCAAGAAGAAGAAGAAGACGCGTCACACGTCGGCTGTGGTGCCGGCTGTTCAGACAGTTCAGACATTGTAGTGAATCAGAGTGCATCAGAGGTAAAAAACGATATAAATACTGTTCAGTTTCTTGCACAGACCGATCGTTTCGTGTCTTTACACATCAAAGTATCGTCACGAGCCGCAGGGTTTAATTTGGGTTTGTTTGTGTATGTTTTTTTGACTCTCAAAGCCGTGATTCCCATTCACTGACATTATAAGACTGACAGACTGCAACGGTTTGAGTTAAAAATCTTCGTTTGTGTTCGACTGAAGAAACAAAGTCACCTACATCTTGGATGCCCTGGGGGTAAGCAGATAAACATCCAATTTTCATCTTTGGGTGAACTATCCCTTTAAGTATTTCAAGTTGAACTAAAATGTGAAATGTTGCCTTCCCAACTAGCTGAAATAAAATAAGTTTTGTTATTTATATTTTATTTTATTTCAGTTGACATTTATTTTATTTCAAGTAACGGAAATATTTGTATGGTTTTAGTTTTAGTTAAGGATAATATCACTGATGCAAGAAATCCAGCTTCAATTGATTTACAATTAAAAAAAACATTACAACAAGCACAGAACTTCACATAAAAACAGATAATATACCACAAGATGAAAGATGAGACCCACTTTATAAAGTGAACAAAAAAGGTGAACTTAAAATGCACAGAATTCATGACAAAATCTCAAAATTAAAAATAATTGATAAAATACCCTTACAAAAATTAACTATGGTTTTTGATACAAATACCCCCACGTTGTAATGCATTACTTTTGTAACGCGTTACTCCCAACACTGATTATTATATAAACTTTCCCTGTAGGAACTTCCACGTGTGGAACGAGTCCTGGATGACCCGTCCGGACCTCCCAGCTGGTAACGGTGGGTGGCAGGTGGTGGACGCGACCCCTCAGGAGCCCAGCCAGGGTTCGTACCGCTGCGGTCCCACGAAGCAGCACACTTTAGAATAATGGCTTTGGAGGTAATACTCCAAAAAGGCAGCAACTCACACTCCTCTTTACTGTCTGATCATGTCCGTCAGGTTCAGAGGAGGAGCGCATTGCTGTGGAAAGGGCCAGTCGCTTCGGCTCCAAACCGACTTTGTATCCGTCTCCCACCGGCAATGACGTGAGCGTTGAGATTGTCATGGACGGGACAGGGCCTCGTATCGGTGGAGATGCCAAACTCTCCATCGTCCTGAAGAACAAAAGCTCAAGTCAGCGCACGGCCAGTCTGCTGTATGAGGTGATGGTCATGTACTACACCGGCGTGCTGAAAACCACTGTGAAGAAGGATAAGATTCCTCTCACCCTCAAACCGCAAGAGAGTGAGTTTTACAGTCCCACCAAAGACATCTTTCTGGTTACTGTGCCCCAAAATGTCTGAATTAGTAGCTGCATTTCTCAAAAATCTCCTGATGATGAGACCTACTTGTAGCTGGTGTTAAATTTAATTCACAAATTGTACCTTTATACCCTTAAAAGAACATCTCTGTGCCTTATTTACCTCTAAAAGAAGGGAACTTTTTTCTGAACTTAAAGAAAAGTAAAACAAGTTAAGCTGATAAGCTGTTGTGCATCTAAAAGTGGTAATGCTTACTTTTAAACAGAATTTCAAATGGATATTTCTGTATATGAACAACAATTTGATCAACTTAATGTATTATGGATCTCAGTTAGCCAATGTTACATCTGTTTTCCTTAAATTTAGTGTTTTAGAGGGAAAACACACATACACACAAAACAACACAAAGTACTCAAGCTGGTGCACATGTTCGAGGGATTCATTGAATTTGCATTCATGTTTAAGATTATGGGCAGTGAGCAAAAAGGACTGGAGTACTGTGCAAAATGACCATGAAATATTTCATTATAATCATTAATGTCATGTTCCTTTTCTCTCCCTTCAGCCAAGACTATTCCTTGGACTCTGCAGTATAAGGAGTACATGAGCCATCTGGTGGACCAGGGCGCTCTTATGCTCGCGGTCACTGGACGTGTCAACGAGACCCAACAGATTCTGGCCACACAGTTCAACTTCAGGCTGCGCACACCGGACCTCATCATCACTGTACGTCGATGATCCACTAGTCTTTATTTGGGACCTTTAACAAGCACAAATCTTTCTTATATCTTTCTTACCGTCAAATCTGTTGATGCTCAACCTGGTTCAATGCATCTTAAAAGCACCATATTTGAATTACAACTGAGATTTGAGAATGAAGTGTCCTTAATTTTAAAAAATCTACATCCATTGATTGTGTTTTGACTGTTTCAGTCTCAAGGGGACGCTGTGGTGGGTAAAGAGGTGACAGTCAAGATCATGTTCCAGAACCCGCTGTCACAAGTGTTGAGGAACGTTTTGTTCCGTATAGAGGGATTGGGAATGCAGAGCGTCAGGAAGATCGCGTATGGGTAAGACTTTCAGTGTTTAAGAGCATTTTGAGGTGCGACATGTGCATGCACTTCATGCAAATTTGCTTCATGTGTGTGAGCTGTACTATGATAAACTGTATTTAAAGAGTGAAAAGCTTCCAGACAGTGTATAATCTAGTTGTGTTTCTCAGTGATGTGGATAAGCTTGCGACGGTTACACTGACAGAGAAGTTTGTTCCCACTGTCGCCGGCTCTCAGAAGCTCCTGGCATCGATGGACTGCCGCCTGCTCACTCAAGTGCACGGAGTCGCTGATATTGTGGTCAGACCAAAGTAAAAAAGCACTGACATTGTAAATCCTGCTAAAGCTCTCAGTTGTCTTGAGGATATAAGAATATTTACAAAATGAAATGGTCATTTAGAGTAAAAAAAAAAAATCAAGTGCTTTGATATGAAACTAATGCAATTCAACAATAAAGATCGTTCATGCTTTATTCATATCCTGTCTGGGTTGGTTTGTGTGTTGATTTCAAATATCTACAGTGTAGATCAGAAATTGCTTGCTGTACCATTATTTAGTCTTGTGAGGTCAGTGTTTAAATGTTCTATTTCTGTTTGTTCTTATTTTTCAGCTCTTTTATTAGTTCATATTTAACTCTTCTTTTAACCTAGGGTGTAGGTTTGATTTTGACATAGGTGGGGGCATAAGAGCATTTTTGCATTGATAGACTTTTGACCACAGTTTTGTGTCATCTAAAGGGTTTATTTATTGTAGCTAACATTCATAAAGAGCTTGTTTATGTTCGCATATTCATCAGACAATAATTACACAATTTTGATTATGTAAAACCAACAACATTACAGCAGCGGGTTTAAAGATCTTTTCTTTGGATTGTTTACTCAAAAGAAAATATAGGCCTAGCAAAATATAACTTCGGCTAATTTGTGTTTCCTGCTTGCTAAATTTCACATACATAAACAAAAATGTACTGGCTCTAAACCTCTCTTTATTATATTATACAAATGGTATTCAATACACCCAAACTAAAACACTTTTACTATAATAAAACCATAGTAATTTTCTTAAGGGATTTGTATCTTTTTTTCTCTTTTTTTTTCTGTTTTATTTTCATAACTACTGCCTTAATGGTTTGATGTTTTGTACTGTTAAAGAAAGAAAGAAAGAACGATACGCGCTTCAAAGTCCCGATCTGAATCAAAAGATTCACGAACTCACTCAAAAGTTTCGATCTAATCAACTGATTTCTTTGTTTTATTTTCATAACTGTACTGCCTTAATGGTTTGATGTTTTGTACTGTTAAAGAAAGAAAGAAAGAACGATACGCGCTTCAAAGTCCCGATCTGAATCAAAAGATTCACGAACTCACTCAAAAGTTTCGATCTAATCAACTGATTTGCGGTATGTGCTCGAAGTTCCGATCTGAATCACGATTCGCGATACATGTGCCGAAGTTTCAGTCTGAATCAAAAGATTCACAAACCTGCTCCAAAGCTCCGATCTAATCAAATGATTCGCGATACGCACTCCAAAGTAGGGATGGGCGATACCACTCATTTTGTTTTCGAAACGATACCGATATTTTTCAAGGCAGTATCGTCAATATCGATACCGATACGATACTTCTGAACTAAACTTTTAAATTATGAAATTATTAAATTACTAAGAGTAAAATGGGTAATGATAAGCACTTAACTTTATGTTTAAAACGCATTTTAACATTCAATACGCCTTAATTGTAGCTTATTAGGTTATATTTTTGTTTACACATGGTTCATATACGTTTTTTGTTTACACATGATTCAAATCTATAAATACTACAGTTGAACTATGGTCACTTTAGTAAAACCATGGTTCATTTTCATAAGGGACTGCCAGTGACCGGCTGTTACATGCATAAAATGCAACCTTTTTATTCTGACACAGTGTATGATTTCTATTAACATTACAGAATAGAACATGATCAATATTATCTTTCAACATTCAATTTAAATAACTGTAATTGCATAAACTATGTAGGCTACAATTTCAGTTTGTTTATTGTGAAATAACTCTGTTCTTCTGTCATCTGATAAGCATTGTTCAGGGCTGCTGTTCCCAAAAGCTTTAATGCTTTCTTATGGTACTTTTGGGAAAAGCAGCCCTGTTTGAATGCACTGTCAGCAGTGAGTGAACGCTCTCTGATTGATTGGTTCTGTCTTGCAACATTTGCGTGTTCAGATGAGTAGGAAAATATTTCTATCCTGCACAATTACTCGCTAACAAAGGTTATTCGTCCAATTCAATGCATATTGTACGCATTTTTGTTGTTGTTGTTGTTGTTGAATGAACAAAATCACTGGTAAATAAAACACACCTTAGTATCGATATTTTTTGTTTGAGTATCGATACTTTCGAAACTCGCGTCAGTATCGTATATTACACCTCTGCCACAATTCTGCGCGCGAAAGATCATATTTTGAGCGCACTAAAGTGCATTTTGCACGCCTGCGATCTGAGTTTTGTGGAGAAAATGTTCGTTTCGCAAAGAAAAAAGTATTTCGAGCGCACGAAAATCAATTTTCACTTTGTGAAAAACAAAGTGAAAAACGCCTTATATTCAGGTGTGCATAATTATTAAGCAGGTTATCTTCTACAGATAAAATCTCGAGATGGACTAAAAATTAACTCCCAAAATGTACTTCCAGATTCTGGAAATTCTTCAAACAGTGGTACTGTTCAAACAGTTTTACATGTCAGCCCAATCAGCAGCAGCATCCACTGGTGGTGGATGAGGAGATACCCCTGACAATGTTAAGCGCTTTGAGTGCCTAGAAAAGCACTATATAAATGCAACAAATTATTATTATTATTATTATTATTATTATTATCATTATTATTGTATAATCTGTTCTAATCCTATTGCACTTAGTGTAAATAGATACTCTGTAAGTGTTTCAAGGTATTCATGAAAATCTATTTCACAATTCTCCCGCAAATAATCCGAATTCATTTTTTTATTACCCGACCCACCCGATCCGCGGATTATCTGCAGCGCCCGCGGATAAAACCGCCATCCACGCATCACTATTCAGCAGGGGTTTTATTTTTTTTTTATTTTTGTAATATTCCCAAAATATATAATGAAATATCTCGATTCTCAAATATGTGCAAGTAAATGCATTTTGCACCTTTACAGATTATGTTAGTTCTCTAGTAAAGTAGCCTAATAGTATTAATCTATTAACTTTGCATAAAAATTGTCCGTTTACACTATCAAAGAACATTTTCACTTCAGTCCAGCGAATTCAAGCACTCTCAAACTCCCATAATAATCTCTAAATCTGTTTACACTGTAAAATTAATATATTACTTACATTCGTGCATCTTCACTTTGTTGTTTCTGTCGCGATAATTAGCCAGAGATTTTTATTTTTTATTTTTTTTTATTGCAAACAATTCAGAGTTGACATTAATGAATAACAACTTTGCATACATTACACATATTGTATCAACAATACATCCAATGTCATCTGAACATATGAAAGAGAAGAGAAGAGAGAAAAAAAATTTGATAATGACTGTTAATAGAGAAAGATGCATTTAAACATCTTTGTTTTATGATCATAAAAGGCAGGAACAGAACAAATAAAGAAAAGAGGGTTAAAAAAAACATCAAAACAAGTATTAATCACGGTACATGAAAGATCTCATCATATCTCTTCAAAAAAGAAATACATTTTTTGTTATTAGTTACTCTTAGTGATTTAATTAAATGTTCTACTTCACATAAGAAATCTATAAAAGTAGGTATTTTCTTAAGAACCCTTTGTTTGTTAAAATAGAATTTTGCGATAATTAGCCAGAGATTTTTTTTGCTTTATTAATTCAATGCCACAAGAACATGAGGTATTACATATTCACATGATCAAATTAACATTATTAGCTGCCAGAGGGGAAAAAAAGAAGGAAAGAAAAAAAAAGGAAGAAAATTACATAAAGTTCAATGCTTTCAGAGCATTACATGTTTTCAGTGCTTTTTTGTTTGTTCTAAGAGATTTACATATAATTTAAAGTCATTTATAAAATGTGCAACATTTGGTTTACATTGAGCCCACTTCTTCTTATGTATATGGAATTTGATAATTAGCCAGATTTCAGTCAGCCAGCGCGCGCAGTGACGAAACAGCGTGTTTCAGCGGTGACTCATCTGAACGCCTCTGATTGGTCTTTGTATTCATAAACTCAACAGAATAGTATGGGATTGGTTATAATGTGCAGCGCTTTAAAAAAAAAAAACGTGTGTGTCTCTGGCTCTGTGCCAGCCAGCGAACGCAGATTTGAATTTAGCTGCTGGAGATGTTTTTCTTTTTTATATATGCATAGTTTACATGACAAACTGCGCATTTCACCCAAAATTGTTTGGGATCACAAGGGATTCCAGAGATGAAGGGTGCTGTGATTGTGGACCATACTCCCAATAGGTGGCAGTGATATCCGATGTTGTAGTTTAAGCTCCCCTGTAAACGAAACGAAGCAGAAGCAGCTTACATTTTCTTTTACAGTTCAGACAGCGCTCAGTTTCCAAAGAAACCAGCAGAATTGTGAAACTAGCATGTTTAAAATGTAAAAGTGGTAAATGAAGGATATAACATATCTGTCCATGCTGGATATTGATGGTTTCATTACGTAAATCTGTCAGCTGAAGAAAAGGGAGGCGTCGCTGGAAGTAAAGCTGATGGAGAGAGACACAAAACTGAGCAGAGAGGTTTGTAACGTTACATTAATAAAGATTCACTTAATCCTCAATGATTGTGCGTGCTTGTCTTTCCAGATTTTTCCTTTCTTTCCGCTGAAATTCTTAAATTGATCCATTCGGATTTTGCTTCAAGATCTGTTTACACCCAGTGTAAACCACCAAACTTGTCCAATAAATAAAAATGAACATAAATGTCCTTAAACATTGGCACATGCACAGATATGCACAGATGAGTTTCGTGGCAGATTGATACCGCAATGCTTATATGTATCAGTATTTGCTAAGAAAGTATTGTAAGCAGTGTTGCCAGATTGGAAATGTCCAAGTGTCGTACCAGAAGCTCAAAATGATCGCATTTGGAAGAAAATGATCGTACACGAGTCAAAGCGTACAGAATACAGCTATTTATCTACTAGACTAAAACAACATCTTTTTGACACAACCTTCAAATTATCACAATAAATAAATAACTATGCTAGGGCCCTATGAAATACCTTTTATTTTTTCCCAAATTCCTTTTTTTTTGAAATTCCAAATTGAATTTTTTTTGGATTCTGTTTTTTTCTTTTTCCATTTCAATTT